AGTCACCCTAAATGCATGTCAGAGCACCAGGACTGGTGGCTTACCGGCCTTCCGACAGCTGTGCTGGAGTGTGGAGTGACATAAACTCTTGAAGTCACAGATCTGCTTTCAAATCCTCAGCTAAACACTTAATTTCTCCAAAACACATAAAACTGGGGCTGTTGTGAAATTGAGATATGATAATAGTGTTTTATAATCTAAAAACAATATGTTAGCAAGAGGCAAATGTTAATAACAATTGTATGTAATACAGTATGGGAAAATGGGCCAGGCACCATGGGAGCCACGTGCAGTGGCTCACACCTGTAATCACAGCACTTTGGGAGGCTGAGACAGGCAGATCACTTGAGCGCAAGAGTTTGAAACCAGCCTGGGCAACATGGTGAAACCCCCATCTCTACAAAAAATATAAAAATTAGTCAGCGTGGTGACATGCACCTGTAGTCCCAGCTACTTGGGAGGCTGAGGTGAGAGGATTCCTTGAGCCCAGGAGGTCAAGGCTGCAGTGAGCCATGATTGAGCCACTGCACTCCTACCTGGGTGACAGGACAAGACCCTGTCTCAGAAAATATATCATAATAATAGTGGGTCATGTTTATTAAGTTCTTACTGTGTACCAAGCTCTACACAAAATGATTTAATGCACTGTCTCATTTAATCCTCCAACAGTACTCTAAGCTGAGGAAACAAGTTTAGAGGGGTTAACTTACCCACTGTCACTCCCTGGTGAGTAAAGGAGCCCAGTTTCACACCCAGACCACTCAGACTAAGATCCGAAGCTCTTAATCAGGACTTGATGTGATTATTATGATCACTATTATTATTGTTAAAAATAAGAGGAACAAAAACCCAACCAATAATCCCCTTTTATCCTCCTTTGATTTACAACTTAGGTCACTTAATTTTTCTGAAATTTGTATTTATTTACTTACCATTTTTTAACCAAAATAAAGTACTGTCTCTTTTTTTTTTTTTTTTTTTTTTTTTTTTTTGCTTTTTAGAGTCTTGCTGTGTCTCCCAGGCTGGAGTGCAGTGGCATGATCTCACAGCACCTCCAGTGCTCAAGCGATCCTCCCACCTCAGCCTCCTGAGTAGCTGGGACCTCATGCCACAGGCACATGCCACCACTCTCGGCTAATTTTTGGTTGTTTTTTGTTTGTTTGTTTGTTTGTTTGTTCATTTTTGGTAAACATGGGGTTTAACCATGTTTCCCAGGCTGGTCTCAAACTCCTGGGCCTCCAGTAGTCCTCCCATCTCAGCCTCCCAAAGTGCTGGGATTACAGGTGTGAGCCACCATGCGTGGCCAATGCATTCTAAAGATTCGAAATTTAAACAAGAAACTTCAAAGTCAACAGGAAAGTTTTTCTCCTCTCCCTTTCTTCTGACTGCAAAATCTCACTTCCCACATAAAGATTCTTATGTAGCCTTCCAGAAATTTTCCGTGCATTTAGAGAGATTGTGTGTGTGTATACTCTTTTTTTTGTTTGTTTAACACAAATGAGATTACACTATAAATACTCCCTTACAGCTTCTTTTTTTTTTTCCACTAACACAACATATAGTACATTATTCTACATTGGAATATATAAACCTGTCTTTTATTTTTATTTTTTTTATTATACTTTAAGTTCTAGGGTACATGTGCACAACGTGCACGTTTAATACATAGGTATACATGTGCCATATTGGTTTACTGCACCCATCAGCTCATCATTTACATTAGATATTTCTCCTAATGTTATCCCTCCCCCAGCCTCCCACCCCCTGACAGGTCTTGGGGTGTGATGTTCCCCGCGCTGTGTCCAAGTGTCTCACTGTTCAGTTCCCACCTATGAGTGAGAACATGCGGTTTTTGGTTTTCTTTCCTTGTGATAGTTTGCAGAGAACTGTCTTTTATTTTTAATGCCCAAATACTCCACAGTGTGGACATGCTGTAATCTCTCTAATTATCCACAGAATGATGGACGTTTACATTGATTTCAGCCTTTTGCCATTATAAGCAGTGCTGTAGTGAACAAGCTGATATGTGTGTCTTTGTGATGGACAAAGGCCTTGAGGTAGGATGGCTGAATCACTGGGTAAGAACATTTAAAATGTGGTCTGGACGACTTACTGTCCCAGCCACCTGTCTTCACCCTGATTCTTCAGCCCTGAGAAGATCACATATTTTCACCTTTATCAACACAGCATGTGAAAGATAGTATCTCCTCTGTTGGGGTCATGTTAAGAATATTTGGTGCCATTAGCATGTGCATTTCTTTTCTATATTATTCATTCACCGTTCTATTGTTTCTTATATTTGTTACAAATACAGTTCCTTGTTTGTCATTTATTTTGGGGCCCCATTTATTATTCTTTTATAGATTTTTTTTTTTTGAGATGGACTCTCACGCTGTTGCCCAGGCTGAAGTGCATTGGCGTAATCTCAGCTCACTACAACCTCCACCTCCCCGGTTCAAGCAATTTTCCTACCTCAGCCTCCTGATTAGCTGGGATTACAGGCGCACACCATCACACCTGGCTAATTTTTGTATTTTTAGTAGAGATGGGGTTTCACTATATTAGTCAGGCTGGTCTCGAACTCCTGACCTCAAGTGATCCACCTGCCTCAGCCTCCCAAAGTGCTGGGATTACAGGCGTGAGCCACTGTGCCTGGCAGACAATTATAATTTTTATGTAGTTACATTTCACTTCATTGCCTTTGAATTTTGTGTCATGCTGAATTCCCACTGCAAGATTATAAAAATTCTCTTGTATTTTCTTCCGGTGCTTTTGTAGATTTTTTAAATGTTTAATTTTTGAAGTATTTTGAATTTATTTTGTTATAAGAAAGGAGATGGGAGTTCAGCTTAACATTCTCCAAAATGATAACTTTCTCCTATTCTAGTATCATTTATGGAATAAGGAGACATTTTTGTCTTAGTCCAACATACCAGAACGCAAGGCCAGAACTCCCTCAATTCCCTGCATTTTGCTTCCAAAGGAAACATCCATCCTTTTGCTGAAGTGGCTGGTCTGCTTTGCTCCGAGTTACCATGTTTTCCTCTGTGATGCCAGTAAGCCTGCTCCTTCAGCTGTCTGCTCTCCTAAACCTCCCCTTCTTCCTCTCCACGTTCCATCTCCCCAGTCCAGAAAGAAGCCTTTGGCTTCCTGGCTTCCAAGTCATACTTCTGCCCAGCTCTTTCCCCTACTCCTCTATCTGCAGGGTCATTTGCACTCATAAGCTTCACTCCCTCCCCTTAACACCTCAACCCCCTGGCATCCAAGCAGTAACCTCCCGTGCTGTGCTGAACCATCTCCTGCGCAGATACCCAGGGTTCTGATCGCCAAAAACATGTGCATGCCTTTGTCCAGTTTGACCTGTCCATGGCGTCTGACCATTCCGGCTGGCCACTCCAGGAGGTTCTCCCAGCCCTCCTCACTCCTGCCTCCCCTTCTGCTGGCCCTGGCCCAGTCTCCTCTGCTGGCCCTCCCGCTCTGTCCCTCTAAAACTCAGGCACTCCCCAAGCTTTCATTATTGGTCCCTCTCTTTCCCTGTGATCACATCCACCACCATAACACACCTGTCTCCTGCAAGGATGACTCTGAAGTCTGTCTCCTGTCCTGACATCTCACTTCAGTGTGGCGGTTCAGAGCACAGGTATTGAAACCAGACAAGCCTGGGTTCAGATCTCCACCACTAACCAGCTGACCCTGAGGAAGCCACTTAGTGTTTCTCAGCCTCCTTGTGGGCCTGTCTCTCCTCCTAGACTGTGGGGTTGCTCGGGCAGAGACTAGATATTAGATTAGATTCTAGCATATTGAATGCCCACTTGGTGTCAGGTGTTACACTGTGCACTTTATGCAGCTCATCTCGGATGAAGTAGGTATGTGTTTGTATTCGCTTTATATCTCAGCTCAGAGGTATTTGAATCCAAAACCCATTGCTTCCCAGTATTTGTTAGTATGTCTGCAGAAGCTTATGCTCTAGCAGAAGACAAGCCGTGTTCTCCTGGGAAAATGTCCTTTCTAGCTGTCTTAACTGCCTGTGCTCTTTCCACTGGCTTAGCCAGCTTTCTTTCTGCCTTTCCTTAGCTTGAGCACAGGGCAGATGCTTGGTCATTGTTTAGTCTCTGAGGGACACAGTATCCTCATTCATTCGTTCACTCATTCATTCATTGGACACATATTTATCCTTGTCTTTGTGCCAGACTTTCACTCAGGTATTGGGATTCATGGTAACAAGGGGCAGACTCGACCCTCTGAGGGTCGAGGAGCTAGGTAGGAGAGTATTGTGATGCAGCAAAGTAAGTACAGGGGCCAGGGAAGACACAGGGCAAGGAGGAAGGGACTTCAATGCACAAGTGACAAGAAGCAGGGCTTGTGAGGTGAGCCTCAGAGAAAGCAAGAGGCAGCAAGCTCGTGTGACCTTGACCCTGTGCTTGGGCTTGTGCGGGGGAAGGGCCCTTCTAAGTGTAATCAGAGGTGTGATGAGGCTGTGTTCCTCCGCTCTTCCCTGTTTTCTGTACTGATATCCGCAAGGACCATCTGCTCATTTACCACCCTCTCGGAGTGCCTGGAGAACAGGGACTGCCTTTTTCAGCCCCAGAACCCAGAACAGTGCCTGATCCACAGTAGGAGCTCAGCAAGAGTTTGCCGGGTGAATGAGTGGGGGTTACAGTGCAGGGCATGTGAGCAAAAGGGTCTACTTGTTCTTAAAACAAAAGCATGAACTCATGAGCTACTTACATCCTGTTCATTTATTTTCTTTGAGGAACAAGATCCATCTTCTAAGTACCCGATGACTTAAATTAATTTATTAAAATGTTAATGAGGTTGCCCTTTATAAAATGTAAGCCAGACTTTTTGTTTTCCTGTGTTCTTAACAGCATCTCCACAAAGCAAAACAATCCTTATGGCTATGTGGTTATTAATATAGGTCCCTTTTGGACACTAGGATGTTTAATATCTACTGCCTTCTGATGGGGAAAAAGAAAATTTTAACTTCTTTTCTCTTAAAGGGACAGCTCTTTTGAAGAAGGAAGAGAGATTATCCAGTTATAATTTTGAACCCCTTTCTTGTGAAACTCCATGCCACTCGCCATTTATATCCTGCTTTAGATTGTTGGGGTTTATTTATTTGAATAACTACAAAGTGGACATCTCGGGATCATTGTCTTTAAGAATATGTATAAAAAACATTTGTCTTCAATGCAGGCAAGTCTGAAGATAAGAAAATGGACTAGATTACCACTTAGTTTCTTGTATAAAAGCTTTGATACACAAGAAAAAAAAGTGTGACTTTTGGTTCTTACTCTTTTTAAAAAAAATGGACATGTAAAAATTGTATATATTTATGGTGTGCAACATGATGTTTGGATAGATGTGTACATTGTGAAATTTTTTAATCCAGTTACCACATCCATTACTTCACATACTTACCATTTGTTTATAGTGAGAACATTTGAAGTCTACTTTCTTAGCAGTTTTCAAGTATGCAATACATTATTATTAACAATAGCTCCCATGTTAGACAATAGATCTCCAGTGGTTCTTATTATTCTTAACAGCTCAAGTGAAGCATTAAATAAGATCCAGGCTTGCCTTCTTATTTAGTTGTCAGACTATTTTTCTCCCATTTTGTTTATTTCTAGTCGCATAATTGCACAGCTGAAAGATGAGAAATTACCACTTCTGTGCCATACACTTGATTTTGTCGATCTAAAGGGGGACAGAAGGGGTGTGGGAATAGGGAGAACTGAGGTTTGATGTGAAACTCAAAATTGGAGATTGTAGAGGCACAGCAGAATTGCTCAATAGTAAGCTTATTCTCCAGAAATTTTTTTACCAACTTTATTACATTGGTGCAAGTTGATTCCTTTTGAATAGGAGACCTTTCCTTTACTGTATATTATTATGGCTATAATAATAGCAGTTACCATTGAATGCATTACTTATATGCTACACGGTATAAGCTGTTCTCACTGACTAAGGTAAAAAAAAATGCATGCCACTGAAAGCCGCAGAATTCTACATTTAAGTATTTAAGATTATTTCTCCAACAGCAGACGGAGGATGCTGTGCAGGGATAGAGCACAGGGAACCTTTCATTTATGCATCATAGGAAAGGGTGGAATTACAACACAGCACTTTTATTTTATCTTTCTTTCCTCCAACCATGTCCCCATAAGCTCTGGATTAGCCAGCTAGAGGCCTGATCCCTGAACGTCTTTCTACATAAAGACACATTGGCTGTAGGTTAGTTTTGGTAGCACGGGGAGCCTAAACCCTGGAGAGGGGAAAGTGGGGTGAAGGGAAGAAGAAGCTTTAGTAATGAAATAATGTAAATGTGCCAAGTACTTTCACTTAAAATCTACGATTTATGCCTTCATTATAGCCTCTACAACTGTATGTGGCAAATGCTAAAATATAAAAATAAAGCATGCATGCAGATTAAATTTTTTACAATAAAAATTTCTCTATAACATAAAATATTCCCCGCTCTTAGGCAATGGCTTCCTTCAAAACTGATGAATTTCAGCTAAAAAATACAGAAGGTCCATGAATGTCAAGCAAAATTAGATTTAACTAGTAATTCAGGTGTTAACAAAGGCTACACTAATTACTGTCCTCTCTCCTGGCTGGTTAAGGGATGAGTCTAAACCGTGGTTCTCAAACAGGTTACCTTTTTAAAATACACTTATTCAAGCTCGTAGTTCTGAGCCCGTGGGCTCTCCTAAAGTCATTGTTCTAAACCACTCTTAGGATGAAAAGAGAGATGTGTATGATACATATCTAAAGTATTGATGGGTTTTCAATATCTGCAGGGCTTATGAGTATGTATAAGTTTATTCTCAGTTTAATGATTAATTTATGAATTTTACACATCTAATAAATGAAACTTTAAAATGGATTTTTGTTAAACATTTAAGCATTGATTAAAAGCTAAATTATATTTCTATAACCAATTTAAAAAGCAGTTGCTAATCTAATATAGCTGTTTCTTTTAAAGTTTTCAGACACCTTAAAGGGTAACTAAAACAACACAAAAATAGTCATTACAAAACCAGTTACTACATTTACAATTCTACCTGTTTCAAAATATTCACATCATTGGTTTAATTCAAATCTTCATTCTTCCTACATAACATCATAGGGGTTCAGAAATGTCGCATTAATTAATACCTGTCTCAGCTTAATAACATGAGAAAAAAAAATAGCTGCAGTTACTGGACCTGGAGGAGATATCACCTGACTCCCAGGCAGGGCACTGGTCACCAGTCTGAACTGCCTCATGGGCGAAGTTCATTTGTTCATTTGTTATAAAGTTTACTTATTACAAAGTACGTTTGGGGATCGGGGGGAGGTATTTTTTGGCTTGGTTCAACAGGAATGCTATTAACAGCAATAAGGAACAAAGGGGATCCATGGAAGGAAGGAGAGTTCTCTTGGAGACAGACTGAGTCTAAGATGCTAGCATTGTGTCTTCTGGGTACATTCAGCAGGCAGGTGAAAATGCAGACCTAGAGCTCAGAGGCCATCTGGGCAGGAGACCCAAGTTTGGAAGTCATCTAGTAAGAGGTGAAGCTGGACTATGTTACCTAGAGGGAGTGACCAGAAAGAGAAGAGGCTGAGAAGAGCAGTAGGAAGAAGAGAGTTGCGAAGTGGGGTGTTTGGCCACATCTCTTATTTACAGAGAGCTCGGCAGGGAGGCCAGTTGAGCATGGCCCGTAGGAAAGAATGGAATCTGCTCACAGTGGGCGTGGATCCAGGGCGTGGGCAGGAGGCAGGGGCACCAGACCCAGAGGAACAGTGTGGTGGGGAAGAGGAGGAGAGCAGGGGGCGTGGATCCAGGGCGTGGGCAGGAGGCAGGGGCACCAGACCCAGAGGAACAGTGTGGTGGGGAAGAGGAGGAGAGCAGGGGGGCGTGGATCCAGGGCGTGGGCAGGAGGCAGGGGCACCAGACCCAGAGGAACAGTGTGGTGGGGAAGAGGAGGAGAGCAGGGGGCGTGGATCCAGGGCGTGGGCAGGAGGCAGGGGCACCAGACCCAGAGGAACAGTGTGGTGGGGAAGAGGAGGAGAGCAGGGGGCGTGGATCCAGGGCGTGGGCAGGAGGCAGGGGCACCAGACCCAGAGGAACAGTGTGGTGGGGAAGAGGAGGAGAGCAGGGGGCGTGGATCCAGGGCGTGGGCAGGAGGCAGGGGCACCAGACCCAGAGGAACAGTGTGGTGGGGAAGAGGAGGAGAGCAGGGGGCGTGGATCCAGGGCGTGGGCAGGAGGCAGGGGCAGCAGACCCAGAGGAACAGTGTGGTGGGGAAGAGGAGGAGAGCAGGGGGCGTGGATCCAGGGCGTGGGCAGGAGGCAGGGGCACCAGACCCAGAGGAACAGTGTGGTGGGGAAGAGGAGGAGAGCAGGGGGCGTGGATCCAGGGCGTGGGCAGGAGGCAGGGGCACCAGACCCAGAGGAACAGTGTGGTGGGGAAGAGGAGGAGAGCAGGGGCATGGATCCAGGGCGTGGGCAGGAGACAGGGGCACCAGACCCAGAGGAACAGTGTGGTGGGGAAGAGGAGGAGAGCAGGGGGCGTGGATCCAGGGCGTGGGCAGGAGGCAGGGGCACCAGACCCAGAGGAACAGTGTGGTGGGGAAGAGGAGGAGAGCAGGGGGCGTGGATCCAGGGCGTGGGCAGGAGGCAGGGGCACCAGACCCAGAGGAACAGTGTGGTGGGGAAGAGGAGGAGAGCAGGGGGCGTGGATCCAGGGCGTGGGCAGGAGGCAGGGGCACCAGACCCAGAGGAACAGTGTGGTGGGGAAGAGGAGGAGAGCAGGGGGCGTGGATCCAGGGCGTGGGCAGGAGGCAGGGGCACCAGACCCAGAGGAACAGTGTGGTGGGGAAGAGGAGGAGAGGACACAGAGACCATTTGAAAATCTAGGGAATGGGCAGATGGGCCCATGTGGGGTCTTGTTTTGTTTTCTTTGGATTTTAGGTTGTGGTTTTTATAAGGATGTAAAGATCGTATTGTGTGTGTTGACTAGGAAGAAAAAGCCAACACAAAAGAAATCACTGGCGACACAATACAGGGTAGAAAACCATTCATGGAGCCTGGTCCCAGGGCAACGAGGGGAAAGCCAGGTTTCCCGCATGAGTCCTCAATATGTCGTGGAAGGAAAGAGGGAGGGAACAAATGAGAGCTATGCGGGACACTTCTAAGGCAAAGAAGTTAAAGAAGCTCACATTTTCTTTTCCCACCTTATCATTCCTCTTTCAACCTGGTTTGTGCTTTTTTTAAAAAAAAAAAAAAAAAAAACCCTTTTAATTGTGTAATCAAATATTTCAATTATTTCTTTCATGTTTTTGTTTATTTGGCATGAAAATTCATCTTAAATGGGTGTGATCCTTTCAAAAAATTAAATGAAGAGAGCAAAACTCTGCATAAAGTCTGTGTTGTAGGATTGAGATGTGTTGCTTGAGAAAAGAGAAAAGGGTTCAGTAGTAGTGTAGTGGGTGTGGGGACGGTGAGGACACTCCATTAACAATGGGTTCAAGGATAGCTGTACGCAGTGATAGCAAAGGTGAGTGACACACTTCACTAGCAAGACCAGTCAGTCCTGTTTTACAGAATGCATTATCCCCCAAGCTGGCAGTGTTGAGGAGCACGTGAGGCCTAGTATGTTCTTGGAAAGAAATCTTTATTTCCCGATAATCACTTCTCATCCCTGTATAAATGCATGTGACCTGTTTGTAAGAGTATGAAACAGTTCTGGCGCTGATGGGAGAGAGAGATTGGTGCCGTCTTCCCCAAGCTGGGATTGGCAAGGAGAATGCAGCAATAGAAGTCAGGTGAAGCAAGGGTATCCACGAGAGCATCACTGCAGTGATGGGTCACCAGGTCCAAGCCGGCAGAGCAGCTGAGAGGCTGGAGGGGACTCTGGGCTAGAATAGGAGGAACCAACAAACCGGAAGTCATATTGAGGAAGAGCAAGCTCAGGGGTGACAGATTGAGAAAAGTGGGAAGATGGGAAACTGAGTCAAAGTCTAGGGCTCAAATATGTTCTAAATGGTGGTGAGATCCAAGCTGCAACCTACCTAAGTTTAGGTAACATTAGGGAGGCAACAAGGATCTACATTTGAGGATGCTAGGGCCTGTGTAGAGCCAGAGTGTTTGGAAGATCTTTAGCCTAGATGCTGAGCCTAAAAATGCAGGCTGAATATTGACAGGAAAACTGAGCTAGGTATTGACATTGTCACGGTAAGGAAATCATGAGACAACAGTCACACACTTGGGAAGAAGGTCAATACTGCCATGGTGTACACCTGTGCCACCGTACATGATAGCCCCGGGGAACGGCTACTGTCTGTGGAGCAGCAGGAGGTGTAAACTGCAGAAGAATCCGCAGGTTTTGTAGAGACCTCTAGGATTAGCAGCCCTTCAGATTTCATTAGTAACCAGCTCCTGTGAGATGCTGGCATTGTCAGATCAGCCCCGTAAACGAATCTGCTTATTTAGCTGAGTCATCATTTGTGGTTCTGTGTTGAGATTTAGCCTTGTTTGTTTCTGCCTGAGAAACTGGTATGTGACCAGAAGTAAAGGAAATTGATTATTCTGAGTGACTGGCCTAGTGAAGATTCTATCTGCCATACTTACATCTCCTATGATGAGGCACAGTAAGAAATTATTGATAAGCAGAGCCATAGTCTAAAGTGTGTTGTAAGCATGATGGGGCAAAATATTATAAAACCCAGCTTAGTAATGTTGTTTCTCCAAAAATGAAACACAGCATTACCGTAGGATGCAACAATGACACTTCTGGCTATATACTCAAAGGAAGTGAAAGCAGGGTCTTGATTAGGTCTTTGTACACCCTATATGGGTAGCTGCATTTTCACAATAGGAAACAGGTGCAGCCCAAGTGTCCATGGATGGATGAAGGGATAAACAAAATGTGGTCTATACATACAATGGAATATTATGTAGCCTTAAAAAGGAAGGAAATTCTGATACATGCTATAACATGGATGAGTCTGGAGGACATGATGCTAGGTGAAATAAGCCAGGCACAAAAGAACAAATACTGTGCTATTCCAATTATATGAGCTACTAAAGTCAAATTCATAGAGATAGAAAGTAGAATGGTGGTTGCCAGGGGCTGGGTGATGAGGGGCTGGGGAAGGCGGAGGGGTGAGGATGGAGAGTTGGCATTTGATGGGTAACGTGTTTCAGTTTTGGAAGATGAGCAAATTTTGGAGCTGAATGGTGGTGATAGTAGAAAAACAATGTAAATGTATTTCATGTCACTGAAATTACACATAATTACAGTTTAAATGGTAAATTTTGCTATGAATAATTAAACACCTTTTTAAAAAGAAAAACATGAATAGGTCCTTCTGGAAAAGGGCTTTACATGCTAAATCTTGTGTTACATATATTTTGCCACAGTAAGGAAAAAATAAAAATAAAAACTTAGCCCTGACTTTGAGTTATTGAGGGATGTTTCCTCTTTTCTTTCTCTCTTTCTTTCTTCCTTTCTTCCTTCCTTCCTTCCTTTCTTCCTTTCTTCTTTCCTTCCTTTCTTCCTTTCTTCCTTTCTTTCTTTCTTTCCTTGCCATTGTACATTTACTTCTTAGTGAGAAGAAAAGCAGCAAGCGCATGACCCATAGATCATTTTCTAATCTGACAAGGGCATGGAAAAATACATGCTTTATTCAGCTTTTGAAACAACGGATTTGAACTGCCAGTAAACTTCTTTCCTTAAAAGAAATTCACGGTGTTTCAACCCTTTGTAGCAGTGAGATACAATCAGAGGAAACTCCTCTCTTTCTCTCTTTTTTTTTTTTTTTTTTTTTTAGATGGAGTCTCGCTGTGTCGCCCAGGCTGGAGTGCAGTGGCGTGATCTCGGCTCACTGCAACCTCTGCCTCCCGGGTTCAAGAGATTCTCCTGCCTCAGCCTCTAGAGTAGCTGGGATTACAGGCGCGGGCCCAGCTAATTTTTGTGGTTTTGGTAGAGACAGGGTTTCACCATGTTGGTCAGGCTAGTCTCAAACTCCTGACCTCAGGTAGTCCACCCGCCTTGGCCTCCCAAAATGCCTAGATTACAGCATTTTAGGCACCCAGCCTATTTCTGTATTTTTCATTCCCCCCTCCACCCACTAATGCAGAAAATAAAAGAGTTTACTTTTAGAAGCTTAATTAAAAAAAAAAAAAAGTTGTGAATCCCTGAACAATTTTTTTTAAGAACCATGTGAGAATTCCTACATCCAGGTGTTACCTTTCAAATTATTTGCCTTAGAGAGTCTGTCTGTTTATTCCAATAAACTTCCATTTCAGAATGGCCTTCAGTTTTAGTTGATGATAAACATAAGAAAATTGAGTAGTCTAGTGGCTTCTTTCTTCATACTTGACTCCGAATGACTTTTGACTGTTACCAAAAGGTAAATCTACCCTCAAAGGATGAAACTGCCAACACAGACAATATACAAAAGAAAGTATGTGTGATTCATTCAATAAATATTGAGTGTCTACTGTGTTGCCAGGTGTTCTGCTAGACACCAGGGGTATAAGATGAAAAGACAATTTTAGTCACTGCTCTTAAGCTGCTGACACTCTTAGAGGAAGACAGACATTCTCACAAGTAATTAAATACTTCCTTTAAAAAAAAAAAAAGTAGTGGCATGTGTGGGTATAATGAGAGCCCAGGGTGAGGAGTGGCTTTCAGAAATGTTTTAAACAAAGATGTCATCCCCAGAATGCATTATCCCCCAAGCTGGCAGTGTTGAGGAGCACGTGAGGCCTAGTATGTTCTTGGAAAGAAATCTTCATTTCCCGATAATCACTTCTCATCCATGTATAAATGCATCTGACCTGTTTGTAAGAGTATGAAACAGACATTACTATGTGTGATAACTTGTCCTCTAGGCCCTCAGACTATTCAGAGAAGATAACATGTCACAACATCTTGTGACTCTAGTTAGATTTTATTTTTTTATTAGTCACTGAAATAACCTGGTGCCTCAAGGATATATTTGACAGATGTAGCTAAAGGGATTAAAGAAAGTACGTAAACAAAAGATTCCTCAAGCCAGAGCGCAGGACAGAAACAGCATGTCCTAACACGACAACATGGGAGACTGGGTCTAGAGGCCAATTCAACAAGGTTCATTCGGGATCCTTCACCCGCATGATCATTGTGTTGGCACCAAGAGCTTGTGTCTCACTGAATAGTGCCCTTACAGAGGCAGGCAGTGCCTAGGAAGGGGTCATCCTGGAGAGCTGGGTAGGCTTTCCAGTCAGATGACTGAGTTCCAAGCGGTTAAAATGTTTGGATGCAGTACTCCTCCAAGGACATGCTTATCCCTAACTGTCACTGCCTTTCTAGGAAAACTTACTTGTTCAGTCCTTAAGAGGACTGTGTCATTTGAGGACAGCCTTAAGAAGATATTAAGTAGCAGAGAAACTTCTAAGCTCATCTGTGATTTCAGCAGCGGTCACACCTGTTAAGAGCAGAGTTCTTTTAAACACACAGGGAAGAGACAGGAGGCCTTGGTAATCCTCTGGCAGTTGTTGATGGTGCAACTGTATTCGCACTTTTCTATATTTTCCCTTCATATTGCCATTCTCGAGTTTTGTCAAGTTTTGTGTATGATATTTACACAGTAGGGTCTCTATTGAGATAGTTTCAAAGAACCAACAATCCTAATCAAAATGTGTGCTACTGAAATAAGTTATTTGGAGTATTAAAACAAGTATCTTCCTGTGGACAACTAGTCATTTGTAATTATGTGATGGGAAGCTCGGGGAAATGTGCAGGAGATTTCAGAAGTAATACTTCTGCCTCCATACCATTGTAGATAAAATTATATACTCATACTTTTAGAAATCCGAGATACACATTTACCAAAACTTGTAACCACTGTGAAAGAAACAGGTAATTAGCTGTCATTGCCCTTATGTTCAAGATGAAGACCGAAACTTCATTTTCAAAGGCAAATCTGTCATAACATAAGCACACTTCCTTCAGTCCTTCAGACCTCAGTAACAGCCAAGACTTACCTCTAAACCACACTACTCATCAGGGTGCAGTCTATGAAAACTGCCCAGGAAACCTCCTTCCCGTTGGTTCCTGAGGAGGGGAGGAGCAGACTGCACGCAGGTGAGTATTCAATTTGATCATCTCAGGTAAAGCTTAGAACCCAGCAAAGGCTAACAGTAACACTGGTAGCACAAAAGAAGCCATTTCAGATAATTTCTTAGTATTCCATAGGCCTTAGTATACCAACAATCTGTTTCTACCACCTTCAAACTTAATAGTGTAAGCCGGGCACGGTGGCTCACGCCTGTAATCCTAGCACTTTTGGGAGGCTGAGGCGGGTGGATCATGAGGTCAGGAGTTCGAGACCAGCCTGGCCAATATGGTGAAACCCCATCTCTACTAAAAATATAAAAAGTAGCCGGGCATGGTGGCGCGCCTGTAGTCCCAGCTGCTTGGGAGGCTGAGGCAAAAGAATGGCTTGAACCCGGAAGGCAGGTTGCAGTGAGCTGAGATTGCACCACTGCACTCCAGCCTGGGCAATAGAGTGAGACTCTGTCTCCAAAAAAAAAAAAAAAAAAATAGTGTAATACAACCACAAATATAATAAAACCATATATTTTTGTTATAACTCACAGATTATCTGGACTGGGAATGTGACAGTGCACATGCTATCAGCCTTAGCTGAGAAGACTGTAACACTGGGTGTACTCAAATGGCTGGGGTTCGGAATCACCTGGAGACAGGTCTGGTGCCTAGGCCAGGATCAGCGGCAGCTGTAGAACAGAACGTCTTTATGTGGCCGGGGCTTCCTCACATCATGGTAGCCTCAGAGCAGTGTGACTTCCTACTTGATGGGTAGAACTGCAGAGAAGAGTGTCCTGGAGGACAAAACAGAGCTGTGTGGCCTTTTGTGAAATAGCCTTGGAAATACGTAGTTTCATTTCTGCCATATTTTTGTGGTCAAAGGAGTCACAAGCTCAGATGTAAGGGATGGTGACATAGACCCCCGACTCTCAATGGCAGGGGTGTCACAAAACGTGTGACCCTGTTTTAAAACCACCACAGGCCCCCTCTCCTTAGCATTCCACTGGCCCTTTATCCCGGAAACCTCGGGAAATTGTTGTTCCTAATTACCTTCTTTAGTTCTCCTCTCCCATCCCTTCCTCAATCCAGTTCAAGGATGAGGGCCTAGAACTCCACCTGTGTCCTGTTCCCTCTTGAATCTACAGGTCGGGCAGGAAAGTGAAGGGTGAGGCTGGCATGTGTACAAGTGCCAGTGGAGGGCGCTGTGGCTGACTGGAAAGCCCCTGTACGTTCTAAAGGACAGCTGTTCCAAACGGAGGTGGGAATGAAGTCCTTGTGTTTCCAGATTTCCCATTTTAATGTGAAATTAAATATTGAAATGTTGCTTCGCAGTGTTTTAAAAGCATACCATGAGATCTGGGTTTATGCTGTTGTCTGTGTCCTGGCTCTGAGCCCCTCTTTGAAAGACCCAGAACTCTAAAACAAGGCAGTATTTAAGATTGCACATTATGTTTATCCCCAGAAATTTCCACATTGGGGTCGGGAATGCCCTTCCTTCTTTAAATACTTCTTTCTTTAAATCATATTTGCAAAGAATTCTTGTAACTGAGACTCTAGGCTCTCAATAAATAGACCTCATCCTTCCTTCATCCACACATGAATGGCAGCATTTTGTGCATTAATTATGTGTGTGATGTCTCTAAGCTGAATTGGCTGAGGAGCAGAACTTTCATGATTAGCTGTATAAAAAAAAGAGAGCTTCAATTTTGACGCTAAGGCTTGCTTATCTTTTCTATTCTCAGCCTTTCTCAATGTTTGTTAGAATTTAAACTTGTCCTAAGCATGACAACATCTGTTCAAAAGAAAAGGGGGATAGTATATGTTTATATATACACACCTTAATTTAGTATTGGGGACCCTCCAGTTACCAATTATAAGTGTAAAGACTAAATCAAAGTTATAGAAAAATAGACAAAATGAACAGTGACCAAGAGAAGATTTAAGAAATCTGAAGCTAAAGATTTATTTTTCTGCCTGCCCTCCTTGAAGTAATTATTAACTAAGTTTATAAATAGCCTCCTTCCTCTGAGAAGAAATGTCCAAGTGACACCAAACAGGCTGTGGCGTGCTGAATGCTCTCCCATTTCATTTTGAAACTCGAGCTTTTGTGAAGACTGTCGTTGTGCATGCCTCTGTCTCCCCTCATTACCACTTCTGGGTGGAGCCGGAAGCAGGACAGATGCAGATAGTCCTCATTTCAACCACAGGAATTGATTTTAAAGGTGACACTGTCCTCAGTAACGTGGCTGATACCCTGTAGGGGTAAAATTAGCTGTGTTTTCTGTGCAGGTGAAATGTTAGTGATTTTTTTGATATTCTGTACAGCACTCACTGCAAAATGCATTGTAAGATCTAAACACCTGCAG